TGTTATTTTGCTTATTGTGTTTTTTTGTAGAAGGGAATGTGATTTCCTTCCATTTTGTTTGGGAGCATATACACAGACCACAGGAGAAGGTGCCATCAGTTGTTGATGTAAAAAACCAATTCTATAAATCAATTCTCTCTATTTCTTCTATACCTTCTTATATCTTCTTCTTTAATTCTATCATTACCCATTCTCAATTTCGTGATATATTCAGCAATTGGACTGGGACCTCAACTCCTAGAGATGTGATCATTAAATTGGTACTGATTTTGAGTGAATTCATTCCTAGATTGAACTTCACTCATTACAACTTCCAGTATTATCTCCATACAAAATGACAATAATTCAATAATAAACGACGAATGTAATGAAAAGAAACTCACGTGCTCCTCCTTCCACTTGGACGGACTCATCGGGTCTTTCCAGCAATCAACCCTAGCTGGCCCATGGTGATCTACAACAATCCCATTTCCACATAATTAAAAACAACAATAACAAAGTACCTTTTGGATCATAAGTGAAAAAAGAAAAAAGATAAAATACAGACAGATAACTACAATATAATCGATCTGAAAATATTAGGTTAAGACGAGTACCAGCAGCGCCAGCGAGGCCACGGCGGGGAATCAGAGAGGAGGATCTAGCGGCTGAGCCGGGAGATGATAGCCGAGCGAAGGTTGCAGCTCGGCGCGCCGTCATTGCAGCCAATGAAGTAGCCATGGCTCTGTGTGTTTTTTTTCCCAAGAGTGAATGGTATGCGAGTGCGTCAACATCAAATGGGAAATAGGACATTTAACAGGAAAGAAGGGTTCAAACGACGTCGTAGTAGCTTTTTCCTCATTTAACTTTATAAATTCATCCTGCTAGGTACTATGAGTGTTAAAAATCCTCTTTTTTTGAAGAATGAATTTTCTAAAAAGCTTTCTATTTGTATAGAAAATTCATACATACACTGACAGTTTTGTCATTGGTTTCTGCTAAAAAAAAAAAGAAGTTTTAGTAGTCAATCACATTCTGCGGACATTGCATCTGTAAACAGGTGGACAAAAAAATTTGTACAAGTAGAAAAATTCATTTTATAAAAGTGATTTTTTTTGGAGTGACTAAAAAAAGTGAAAAGTTTTGTATTTACATGTAAAGTTATTTTATTGAAAAAATGTATAATTGAAAATGATTTGAGGAAAAATTAGTTTTTATATACAATCATGCTACATTTTTGACGTCATTGTTTATATTGTATCATATAACAACATATCATCCAACAGTTTCCCACAATTTCTTGAAAACAAATGGAATGTCAAAACATTATGTCATGGATGGAATATAGATTTAGCATTATTGTTTTACATAATGGTGTTCCACGGTAGTGACATGCTTTAGGATTATCCAAGAACTGAACAAGAGCTATTTTGCATCAAATGCATTATTTATTAATGATAGCTCTTGTATTCAAGATAGGATGTGATTCGTTCACTTCGATGTCCCACATTCTTACCTCGTATGCTAGTATTTTGTCAATGACTCGTTAGAACGACTGCATCCCACTTTTCATTTCATCCCGAGTCCGCGATGATTTAGTCGAGTGAAATTCTTTTCTTTTGTTTATATGTAAATGGAGAGTAGCTAAACCATCAAATGAGATTGGACACGACAA